GTGAAAAATAATTAATGCAATAGATATTTTAGATTATTTTTATAAAAGTAAACATACCAAAATTTTTAATTTTTTATTAATAAAACAAATTATAACAACAATAACGATGATTGAATCTAAATTCTTATACATTTATTCCAACTCTCGCTACTATTAAATTTGTCTTAATGATTTATTCTTCTATTATCTATTATAAATAAAAAAAGAAAAAAAAACTAATTTCTCAGGCATAAAGAAAATTAGATAACTATATTAAATTCTACCAATCTAGTAATATATTTTTTAAAATTATCTTTATTATAAATATTTCAAAAATGGTATAACTAAAAAGTCATACAGAGATATTTCAGAAATAATGTCATTAAATAAAATAAAAATAATTAAAATGTGTTTATATGATAAAAATATTATGTGATTTTTTTAGCTTATAAATGAAAATAGAGTATCAAACTTCTAATTTAATTCTTATAAAGAAAAGGATCCGAGGAGGTATTAAACACTACAAAATGTGTGAATCATTAAATAAAAGTTAAAGTAAAATCAATGTAACTTTACGATTTTAAATAAGTTTTATCCATTAAAAAAAATGTTCCGCTGACACTTTTTTCATAAGTGTTAAAACAAATCGTTTTAATTAAATTCATTCATAAATAAATTCACATATTTCAATGCATGTGGTCCATTCTTTATGTAAAGAAATCATTGCTTCTTACATAGGATTTGATGTTATAAAAATTACAGATTTTTCAGACATAATGATCTTAATACTCGAAGTAAAATTTCAAATATATCCATGCATTATGTAAAATTTAAGAAAACAATAGATAGGATAGAAATAACTTATTTTGACCACATGAAGCTAAACATATAAGTAGATAGTGCAACACTGACATGCGGAGCAAAAATGGTTGAATTATTGCTAGCACCATTATTTGATACTTAGCCAAACAAAACATTCTAAGAGCACCTCCAGCGGGAGGTGCTTGTGCTGTATCTAAAAACTAAGCAACGGAGCTTAGAAGCATTTGTCATTGGAGTAATCTTACGTGGCATGAGAAATTCTTATTTTTTTAGAACCGGAGCTTCAGCAAGCAACGGTGCTTAGCACTGTGAAATTTGAAATGGAGAGCTTTCATTGGTTCGTGCGGATCTTTGCTGGAAAGTGCACAATGGTTTTGCAAACAAAAGAAACCATCACCGCCACCTTCTCCACGGTCTCCGGATCCGAACCGTCGCCCGCACTGCACCGCCATGTTGTCCACCGTCTCCAGATCCGGACGCGCCCAGGCTCGCGCCGCTTCAGCCCCGTCCTAGCCAGCAACAGCCGCGGCCTGCTCCGAGAGGGTGGGATTCGAGTGGGAGTGAGAGTGGGTGTGAAGGAGAAGATGGAGGAAGCTGTGGAACGAGAGAGAGACCCCCTGTATTTATTATTGTAATTTTTTGTATTTTTTTATTATGTAATTTCTTTTTATTATTAAAATTTTTGTTATATTTTTTATTATATAATTTTTATTATTATTGAAATATGAGTTGTAAAAAAATTGAGGTGTCAAAAAGTGTAATATGAGTTGTAAAAAAGTTGAGGTGCTTATAAGCAATTGTCATTGGAGCAAAAGTTGTAAAAATGTAGTATGAGTTGCTTATAAATGACGTGGCACAATGGGACCCATTTAAAAGCAACTCCCACCGGAGATGCTCTAACACACACTTGCAATAAAGATTGACATGATTAGCATGATGAATTTGTTTCCTATGAAAAAAAGTCATTGGCTGAAAGGGTGAATGTATGTTTGAGAAGAATTTTACCGCAACCCCACATAAGTGTTAGATGTTCTAGTTACACCAATTTGCCAAATTCTAGGCATTATATAGGTCGATCTTAAAACCTAATAATACCTTGCTATTTTTAATGTTATTTTCCATTGTAAATGAATATATATAATAGGGGATTCAATGAAACATATTAGAAAATAATTGACGATGTCATTAATTCATTAAGATGTACTAAGGTTTTATCAATAATGTAATCAGTTTAGTAAGATATTTAATTGACAAAATTTAAGCCAAATATGTGGTAGATTGCTCCTTAACTTGTAAAATGATTAATGTTGTGTTGTGTACTCAAGTTAAATACTTAGCTTAAAACTTTGAGAAATGATAAATTAAATTTTTGAATAAGAGTATCAAGTTTGATTGAAAAACCTAATCTATAAACTATAAGATGAAAGTTGAAAAACTAAAAACTTATAAGTTATTGGATTGAATTACAAGTATTTGATAAAATCAATCAATAATATGACTAGTAAATATAAAATTATCTTTTTAAGGTAAAAAGATATTTTAAATAAATTAATGAGATAAAGATAAAAAAAAGTAAATAAAAGAAAATAGTCAAACTAACTTATAAATTGTTAAAAAAAAAACACTCTAACTAAGAAACTATCAACTAAAGACTTACCTACTCTCCTACAAGTTTGTCATTACTAATCTTTTGAGATGCATTCTACTCTCTCTATTGTAAACCTATTAAAATTGTTGGTAATACGAGTATAAAGACAACTTTTACCAAACAAAACACTCAAACATCCACTTACACTCTGTTTAAAATGGTTAATTTGTTTCCTAAGTTGAAAGTCATATGTTGAAAGGATGGATCTGTTTAAGATTAGTTTCACCACAACCTCACATTAAGCGTCAGATGTTCTGGTCAACAATAATTTTCCTTACTCTAGGGACTAGGTTGGTCCCAAAGCTTGACAATACCTCGATCGTCAATTATTGTTTTCTTTCATATATATACCTCATTATGAATGAATTTATATCATGGAGGATTTTAGAGAGGAAGTATTATATATTAGAAATTAATTTGCAACGTCATTGATTGATTTGATTCATTAAGACATATTAAGGTTAATTGATAACATCATTAAGTTAGCAAGACATTTAATTGGCAAAATTTAAACCCTATAGGTGATGAATTAGTTCTTAACTTGCAGCATAACTGATGATTTTAACAAATTAATACTCCTACTGCAAAGTGCAAATCGCTTCCATTCACTCAGAACCATCTCATCATGAAGAGAAAAACACTTTCCAATGACTTCACTCATAATTTTTGTGTCCCATTTTACTCCACACCATCAAGTTAAGGAAATAACTAAACATTATTTTGGTCGGTAATTATCTATTTGAAGTTAGAAGTAACTAAAATATGAAACATGTGCTTGTGCAGATTTTGTTTCAGTAAAGTTAAGTTGACCAAATATCCACACATGTGGTGCATGTTATTTGGTTGCTGCCAGAATTGCGTCCCCCTAGTTTTCCCATTGCCGACTTTTTCCTGTTTCAAACGCATGTCATTGGACTCCACTCTAGCTCCTTAAAGATGGTAAAAACCGACCATGACTTCAGTAGTATATGATATAATTATTCAATGCTTTCTTAGAGTCAACAAAGGATGGAAGAACATCATTTTTCTGTAAAGAAACAAACAAACATGAAAGAGGAAGAAGACTGAATAAAAAGCAAAGATGGTCGTCTGCGGGACCTTGGAGGATTGAAAAATGCAGGAGCTAAATTGACTTGTGCGATACTCAATAATAATGCATGCAATCACTTCGTAATCATTAATCTCAAACTCCTGTTTTTATGTTGCTCATGGTCGGAGTATGCAACTGTGGCTGCCTTTCTTTTGCCACCGACCTTATATAATGTCTATGGAGATTGATTTAATTAGCATGATGAAATGATGCATGAGAAAAATAGAAATCACATAATAGGGGTGATTTTTATAATTAGAGTTGAAGATAGATGTAATATAAAAGAGGGTAGAGTGGATGAGAGAGAAAAATGAATAAAAGAGAAAAATAATAGCTAAAGTACTAGGAGTAGAAGTAACTAAAATGTTATGAAAATGATGTCAAAACAAGTGAAAAATAAAATGATATGATGGTTGCATTTGTATTATTGTTTAAAGATAAAATATTCTTTAAAAAGTTAGAAATGCATTTTTTATATATGAAGCAAAATATTATTTTAATATTGCGTTAATCAATTTTAGGTATATCAAGTCAATTTTTTTGTTTTAAGACAAATTTTACTACTACTAGATTAAGTAAAGATAATTGATTAGTGATTTTTTATTGATCGATAATGCATAATTGTTAAATACATAAATAATTTGATAATTTTATTGTATTATCATGTCATAATGTAATCTATTTTGAGTATTGAAAATTATCATGTACTTATATGTTTATTTGAATAAGGTTTTAACTATTAAATCTAGTTTCTCTCTCATGTTTTATATCTTCCTATATGGATTAAGGATGAAGTAATCAATATGTAATTTTATCAGAAATCTTAAAAGGAGGTTGGTGGTTTGACATTTGTCTTGCATCAAGTCATGTATCTAAACTTTTAGTAAAAATTAAAATAAAAATAGGGACTTCAGCTAATGAGGGACAGACAACGAATGAACAAAAGACAGAGTAAATCATTTTACTAAAAGAAAGTAGACCATTAACCAAGTTAACACCTGATGTTCCATTAAAGTAAAAGTCTGATAGAAGTACATGTATTTTCTGATAAGATATCAATCGACAACATTATTTTTAGAATGTGCTCAATTTATGTTTTTTTTTTTTTTTTTTACAAATCTAGTCAATTTTAGGAGAGGAGGCCATGGATTTACTTAGCGGTTGTGTTACTGAAATTTAGATGATATTACAAGGGATAATTGTATTTCTTCACGATAAATAAAGACTTATTACAACAGTAATATAGAATAAAAGAAATCTTGTTGTGTTAAATATTCCCATGATCCTGGCATTTGAAGTTTACTTTTCACAAAGTTCAAGAAATTGGAAACCTTACTGGCTTTTTATCCATTTCCCTCTTTATAGGTCAGTGATTGCTTCTCTTGATCACCAAGGCATCTTCTCTGTCTCTTTGGGTCCACCCTTGCCTTATATCTTGCTGAAAGGTTAGCTGCTCATTCCAAGAATTAAGATTTCAAGTGGAAACATGGCTATGGGAAGTTTTTTTGCAGCTGTACCTGCCGTTGCTGCTGCTGTTGGATTTTATTTCGTTGACAGAAACTATATCAAGGTAAGAAAGGTTGTTTGTATTGTTTTATATCAGCATTGAACAACATCAGCGTGTCAATGTAAGAAAGGCTATGCATTGTTACATATATTATACATAAAGTTGAAGATGTCTTGTCTGTAGGAAATCAAACAAGGTTCATCAGTATCCAATAAAAAAATGCTAGCAGAAGTGAAAGAACAAGCAAAGACCCTTCAAAAGCCAAAATTGGCACCACAGCTTGATGGATTACATTGTTTCGAAACCTTGGTGATGAATTGAATTTGCTGGGGCTGGGGCTGTGTTGTACCTTATGCTGAATGAATGATAGATTATATATTTGTTAATATGTATTTCCATCTTATACAGCCTCGCATTATTGTATTCATTTTACTTCAAATCATACGAGTTGCTTCTTCATAAGGCTGAACTTTTGAAAATGTTTCAACTGTTTAACTGGTGAAACACGTGTAATATCTTGACATTTCACGGGTAAAAATCAAATGAGAAAGAAAACGAGGAAAATAGAATTAATATACGACACAAGTATTGTAGTTTTCTTTTGTTTTACACCAGTGTTACCTTAGACTAATATGATTTGATTGGGGTAAATAAAACCTAATGAAGAATTGTTTTTATCAAAGATCAAATTCAAAGATTATCCAAACAATACTATTTTAAATTCAACACATTAATCATAATCACTTGTAACTAATTTTTCGGTTAAAAATATTGTATTTTATTTATTACTTTCTTTCTTTCTTTTATTATTAATAAATTCTAAAAAATTTAAAACTGAGGCACCTTTTGTGTATCACTTATTTAAAATTTCAAATAACGAAACCCACCTTGTCATTTAGTTGTTGGATTTGTTTTTCAAAACTTAAATTAGTATAAACAGACATTAACATACCGAAAATTTTGTCAAATGATAACATTATCCAACTAGTATCTCGGTGCTTTAGAAGATGATGACGCTTGACAGAACCAAAAACTCGTTAGCATTAAAAATAGAATCCAAAAATCGGAATCAATGCAAAATTTAGTAGACCATTGCCGTTACAGTATGTGGGGTATACCAAATTCATGGACCGATAAACGCATGGTGCCAACATTTCTAATAATACTACTGAATTTATACAAACCATACACAGCCTATTTGTTCTTGATAACAGAAGAATAAAGGATTAACTGATAAAAGTTAATAGACTATTTGTTCCTTTTAATTGCTACCGAGTTTATACAACCATACACAGCCTTGAAATTCTATGGTCTTGACCAACGACTATTCATGGTCCAAGAAAAGAAAGTTAAAAAAAAACTTCAACTACTCCCTCCCTCCACCAACCCGGAACTTTCTCATTACACTTGATTTTATTTTTGTAGTATATTATTTCGTCCACAAAAGAACCTCTAAATTTTCAAGTCATAATAACACAACTACAAAGGGTAATACTAATGTGGATCGTTCAAAAGAATGGCATTCAAGACAATGCTCCACCTCTATTTTTAACTATCTTTTTCCTATATTGGCAAATCTTCTAGCAACACCAAATAGAACATACTTGGTCACCAGTCCCCTATCAAGACTACAAGCAAGAGCAATAGCACCACCAATGACTAGCATCTTGGGTACGTTCAATCCCTGTGGTTTCTCAGAAGCAACAACACTTTCATTCTCCCCTGAATTGTCATCAGCTCCAATGGATTGAAGGTATTCAGGACTTATTTTTGTGTTAACTTGGGCCATAAAGGCTGAATGAGAGAGTGCTGCACCAGAAGCTCTTGCTTCTTGATAGGCTCGCAAACCAGGCTCAATCTTCTGAACAGTTCCCCACATTCCTTTCCTTACTCCAAGCTTTGCAATTTCCCATGGAATGCCCATTTCTTCATGATGGAAGAGTAAAACTTCACAGGCAGTTAACTGACCAGTACCTCTCTTTGACTCCACTATTTAAAAAAAAAACATCATATCAGTCACAAGTATAGTAGTGAAAAAAAAAAAAAAAAACTAGTTTAAGTAGTGGGTTAGACAAGTCCAAGCAACTGATCTAATACACAAGTTACAAGGGTAATTCAATAGCAATGATATCAAAATTCACCTGCTCTAATGCACCAACTAGAGTAATACACATCAACACGTCTAGGTTTATCTCTTTTGGGCATTGAAGGACAATCTACTCCCTGAAAGAACAAATAAAACAAAGATAAGATAAGCACAACACTGTAATAACAGTGGAAGGATAACCATCATCAATCAAAATATCTTCAAATATTCCAGAAGAAAAGGTGGAACTTTTTCTCATACCTTGGTCACACAATAGTAATGTCTTCCAGATTCCCATATTCTCCGACCAATTATATATTCTCTATCTTTACAGAAAAAGGGAAACTGTTGCACAGATAATTAACATCCATTAGCCTACTGAACCAACATAACAATTAAACACACTCGAGTTAAAAAACGTTATGCACCTTCCGTATCCACTGCACTTTCATGATACCAGTAGTGGGACACTCTTCAATAGTTGAGGAGTTTGCAAGCATGTCATCCCATCTAGGTCGAAACTCATCATCCCAAAACAAGTCCCTTACTATCTCAGGAGTAGCATCCTCAAAAATAGTACTGCTTCTATATTGGGGAGGACCATCCTAACAAATCAGTAATACCAAAATTTAGAATATCAAATACAAATAGGTAACTAATTTGAGCAGAACATAAAGATTTTACCTAGGAATAAAACTATACAAAATAGAAAATAATCAAATATCATACCTTTGGCTCTCTACGCCACGCTTTGTAACTCATGGAAGGGGTAGAACGATCCATCATCTGTATCCAAGGAAGGCCTCCATCTTTCTCTTCCACAAGCTGCCATAGATGATGTAAATCCGCCATTGTCACAGCATCAGATGTTTCCTCGCTGGATTTGGGTGAACTGCATGGTAAAACAAAGTCATAAATAAAACGACTTGCTAACACCACATTTTAATTTGTCAATCACAAAAAGGCAGCCTGCGAGAACATGTTACAAACAGATTGCAACATGTCCGAATTTATTTTCTCTCCCAATTTTTATCGTAATAACAAAAAAAAAAAAGACGGATTTTAAAGATTAATTAGTGTCCAAGCATGACCCTATATTCTTGCAACAAGTATTTATGTTATCCGAACAAGAGAATAATAGTTGATAGATGTTAAAATACCTGACAGAACTTGCGAATTTGACGGGTGAGGAAGATGAGGAAGCCTTTTTATCCACCCCTTTTTTGAGGGCCAAAGATTCTAGGTTTGGAGTTTGCATTTTAATGGAATTAAGGCAAGGAGAGGAAGAACAAGTCTTCATAGGAGACGCTATAGACTTTGAAGGCGAAGAAGCCGAGGAGGGTGAAGCAAAATCCAAGGATTTTGCAAGGGAAGTAGTTAACTTTCTCTTCCCCAACCTCGCCCATTCAGGTTTCCACAACCATCCCACTACAACCCCAACGAAAAATGCTACCCAAAGAGGACTAAAAAACATTCCAATAGCGGTGCACCAACCCAATATTGCAGGGTTTTCCAACATATCATAAAAAGACAGTGACAAAGCCATAACAACAAAGGGGGAAAAAAAGGGAAAAAGAAAAAAAAGAAAAAAAAGTAGAAGGGCACCCCCAAAGGCAAACCCTTTTCAGCTCCTAAGAAAAGTTAAAGGGGGTGCAGAATATTTGAGGAGAAGAAAAAATGAGAAATTTGGCGAAGAATGAGAGGGAGAAAAGGATAAGGGGTGTGTGGGAGATGCTAAACGACGGCGTTGGATGATGGGGCCAATGGCGGTGGCGAGGGAGTAATAGTATTGGTGGATGGGAAGGGATAATGAGAGTTTGGAAGAGGCAATGGGTTTGGAGAGGAATCACCACATAAAAAAGGAATGGTGGCGATGAAGTGATGCGTGTGAATGTGACGTTGAGATGAATGAAATATGAAACCGAGGGTGTTTTCAAGTCTAACGTTGTCAATTTGACTGACGGTGTTTGTTGGTTTTGGTTCCAGCCAAATGAGAAATATAATATAGCCAGTAAATGAAATGAAATGGTAATGGAGCCAATTCAAAGGCTGAGTTTATTTTTTTTTATACATACATATATTCTATTCTATGACTCTCTCCCGAGTCCCTAGGCCTTGTTTTTCACGTTCTCAACGCTCGTTTTTCTTGCGTTTCATGTTTCTTGTCATCTAAAGTTTTCTCACATGGGAGGGACTCTTTGTTTTTGTTGCCCTTCACTTTTATGCGAAAAAATATATATATAAATTGAATGATGAAAACAATCTTTTTTAATTAGTGCAAACTAGTTATTTTTTCTTTATAATAACCAAAGGGAGTACTAAATAGATTTAAACAATGCATGTCATATTTACAAAGACTCGGATAATACATGTTATATTCAGATAGGTTAAGTATTAAAAAAATAATAAATAATTTTAATAATCGCATAAATTATATTATGCAAAAAGAAAAACAATATTGATGATGATATATTATATGATAATTAACATTTATTATATGCAAGTCATTGTCATTTTTGTTTTCTGATTATAATAAATATTTATATATGATTAAGGTGATTTTGATTAATATCGTATAAATCATGTTATGTAAAAAAAAACACGTTAACATTAATTATAATATATTTCTTTAAAATTAATATTTATAATTTTCAATTTTTTTCTGATTAGAAAATATATTTCATGATAGTTTCTTAAAAAAATAAAATATAAATCTAAATAAAAAATTTATTAAAATGTTAATTTATTTATTAAGTTTTTGGATGAATTTTTGTAATTGCAATAATCAACTTTTTAAGAATCAAAATAATGTATAAAATAATCATTTAATGAATATTAATATATCTATGTTTCAAAATTTAAAACTATACCATTAATTACAACTGAAATTTTATATTATATTTAATTCATAAAACATGTAGTTGTAGTAGCTAATATAATTACATTGAGAATATATATATACATATATATATATATATATATATATATATAATTATGGAAATTAAGATAATCACATTTTAATGTGCACATATAAAAGTGTAAAATAATTGTCGATATTAATTAGGAAGTCACTTTTTTCTTTCTTACATGCAGATATTTTTTTTATATTTTTTTTTGGTGTTGTAGATGATTTTTTTTATTGATAAAATATACTGAATAAAAATAATTATGGTAATTTTAATTTATATGTTTTAATTTTAATTAAGAAAATAAATATTTAAATATGTACAAAATATTTAAATAAAAATAATTTAGAAAAAAATGTACGATCAGTATATTTGATTAAAAATAAAACACGCTTAAAATAAATAAATGCACAATTAAGGAAACTACCCTATTAATTATGTTTAACGTATCTTCTAAAGAAAATAAATTTCATTATTAGTTATGCAACATATAGTTTGAATAAAAAAACATTTAAATGATATTTGTTGTGTATAAATTATAAAAACATATTTAAAGATAAATGTGCAATATCACAGTAATAACAATAAATAAAAAGGTTAAATAACATACTAAAATGACTAACTTTAAATAATTACCAATTTAATCACGATTTTTAAATTTTTAAAAGAATAAAAATTGATTATGAGAATTAGCATAAATTAAAGTTTTAATAAAAAAAATATGGTGAATGACGTTCGAGATTAAAAATATTGGAATGTGATTTAATTAACATCATTTGTCCTCAATATAAATTGTATGAATTTTAACTTTTGTGTCAATTTTACTTCTCAAGGTTTTCATAACTTTTGTTGATCAAAATTAACCATCATTATTTTGTAGAAATCTTAAATTGACCATATATTTTCTATAAGGAAAAACATACAACAAATATATTGATTAATAAATTAATCCAATTGAAGTCTTAGATAATTAATTTGATCATTCAAATTTTCAAGTTCAGCTATTTTAAGGTTTTGTTAATTAAGAGTGTTTGATCATGTATTATTAATCAATTAGTATAATATTAAACTGTTATAATAATCCACAGTTGATACAAAGAAGAAAAAAAAGTCACAAAAGATGTTAGTTACTAGAATAAAATATTTAGTTAAACATGATAGGTAAAAACCCCACATCTTACTGAAATTTATAAACATATGAGAAGAAATTAACCACAAAGGAGGAGAATCCTTCTTTGAGGGTCGCTCTTAGCCTCTTACATAATCTCAAGCAAGAATTAAGAATAAAGAAAAGAAAATACTAGAAGCAATATGAAAAAAAAAAATGTATTATTGACATCCCTAATTAAAAGAGAAAATTAGGACTACTCTTCAAACATGGTCTTACATCTTAATTAGCAAGCATAATCATGAGTCATATATATTTAACATTAGTGTGCATCTTCAAAATCAGGGTGTGCTTTAAGTGAAGTATAATTGTGCATCTCAACAAGTATAATTGTGCATGTAGCATGAGTGTGCATCTTCAAAATTAGAGTGTGTTTTATTAGAATCACCATATTTTAGACAATCATGATTTTGAATAACACTTAAACTCATTTTTTCATCATTTTGGCCTCCATTTACACCAATTTTCTCTTCTATATCTTCTCATATGTTCACACCAATTTTCTCTTTTATATCTTCTTATATGTTCATTGCACATTTAACCAAAATTGAATTTTGTCAAAAATGTGATCATAATTCATAAGCAAGACAAAACAACAATCAAGAATATACTAAATGCAACAAATTGAGAATTTAATAATATTTATAACCTTAATATAATAATAAAAATTATAATTAATACAATATTATAAATCAGTTTTAATAAAGTTTTAATGTAATACAATATTATAAATTCTAAGACATGAAATCACAGTCAATTAAATTAAATGAGAAATTTTAATGTAATAATGTTTTCTCAAAATTATATGATATTAAACATAAAATAGATAAAACTAATGAATATTTTAAAAATAAATTGAAATTTGAAAAAAAAATCCTTGATTTTATTTTGTTTTTCATCATGTATTACATTTTCTTTTAATTTTTAAATTGCACCACGCACATTTGTACTCTTATCTTTCTCCCTTGTGGCATTTGACCAAATTTCTCAACAAAAACCAAGCTCTTGTTACGAGCACCGACCAGTTTTTGCTGTTATGTTTACTCAAGAGTTTAATATTTTATGATAAAATTGATTTGAGGGAAGATTGACTTTATGATAAAATTGCGTTTCGTGTTTCTTGTCATCTAAAGTTTCCTCCGAGGGACTCTTCATTTTTGTTGCCTTTCACTTTTAACAATGTTGTAAAAACATCACAAATCGCCTTGCTCAAGGGAAAAAAAATCATGGAAAAATGAAATAAGGATATAATTTTTTTAGAAAAGAAAAAATTTACTCCATTTGAAATATAATTATCATTAATACTTGCTTATTTGAATTATTAAAAGTGGTTAATAAATTGTGTTAAATGTTTTTTTTAAAATATATTTAAGTTTCTTAAAACTCGAATAATGTTGAACACAATAAATAGATTACTTGATTTCCATTTATGATGTATACGAAGGACGGTGGACCACGATGGTTTCCATGGTGTCTACTGTGGTTTATCATAGACCATTAATTTAAACTGATAGATATCTATGGTTTTTACAATTAAATTATGCATATCTTGTTTTGGATTTATTTTATCCTTACCCTCCTTCACTCTTCTTTTCCGATTAGGGGTAGCAAAAGTGCAAAACAAACTCGTTTGTCTCGTTTTACTCGTCTTGCTACCGTCCTATAAAAAATGGGAGGAGAGATAGGTCCCCTTAATAAAAATGGATTGGAAATCTTAATCAATAATGTTTAGCATGGGTTGACAAGTTAATGGGATGATAAAACTTTCAAAAAATATATTTTATTGTTAATTTATATTGACAAAGTTTATTATTTTTGTAACAATTGACAATTTTAATTAAAGAACCTATATACATTAATTTATCCTTCAATATTATTGAACAAAGGATATTTTATTTATAAATGTTTTTCTTAAAAAGAATTATACGCCAAATGTATTTTTGAAACTATGAATTACATACAAAAAAAAAAGCATTAAATATTTTTATATTCTTTATATAATAAATTCCATTTTATGTAAAATGTCTCTAGGTAAATGATACTTACTTCTATAACTCATTATGTAATTAATTTGGTTTAGGATTTTGGTCTTAGGGATTTAGTATTGTTGTTTAGATAAAAAAAAAATTAATTTTTTTTTCAAAATAATATTAATAAAAAAAGAATTACAAAAATGTAAAAGTAAGATTTTGTTAAAGAAAATAAAATGACACACCTACTAAAGTTCTATTTTAGCAGGTGTGTCAATATACTAAAGCAATAAAATATACAACAATATAAAATGATAAAAAAAATTAAAAAATAAACTTTTTTTAGCCTAGAGAATATAATAATAATAATAATTATTATTATTATTATTATTATTATTATTATTATTATTTTAGTTTATATTTTAGTTAAACTTATTAATGTTACAAAAAAATCTCTTATTTATAGCCTTAATATAAAAAATAATAATTCTAATTAAAAAAAATACAATTACTTAAAATATTATAAATCAATTTTAGTAAAATATGAATTCCTAGCTAACTAAATATGAATTTTCTAAGATATGAAATTACAGTTAATGAAATTAATTAAGAAAATTCAACCCAATAATGTTTTCTGAAAATTTTATAATTTTTTTTAAATATAAAATAGATAAACTATAATGAATATTTTAAAAATAAAATACAATTAGAAAATTAGAAAAATAATCCTTATTTTGTTTTTGTTATTTCATTATGCCTGCATTTCTTTAATTTTATTTCTTAAATTGCACCACACACACATTTGTACTCTTATCTTCCTCCCTAGCTTGTGGCATTTTACCAAATTTCTCAACAAAATTTAGCTCTTGTTGCGACACCGACCAGTTTTTGCTGTTATGTTTACTCAAGAGTTTATCATAGATTTGGTTTGAGACAACATTGACTTTCTTTCTGGTTTGAAACGCATGC